CTCTAGTCTTACACTGCTAAATTAGGGACAGCTAGCGCAGATAGCTCTCGTGTAGCTTTTCGCGAAATTCAAAAACAAACAAACAATCATTTGTCAGCAAACTTCTATAAACTCTGGAAAAAGATAAGCAGTTCCTCTGTCAGATGTTCAAGAAAAATCACAGGAAGTTTACCATGGTAATTTGCAGTTCAATAAAGACATGAAATATTTGGTGAAAGAATAAGAAAAATAGAACATGTTTACATGTAAATATGAGACCCTATGAAGTAACGAAATAAAGGTCAGATATCGAATTACCTCTATCGTATGTAGGTCGAGTTTTAGTTTTACCAATATAGTGGCTTTGTGTTTATAGTTTCTAGACCACTTTGACCAATCTTGACATAAAAATAAAGTTGTGTTTAAATGAAAAAAGAAATAAATCTAAATATCTAAGAATGCCAAAGACCCAGTTTGTATTAAAGGCTCTATATCCTTTTTTTTTTTTTATAAAGGTCATTGCAAAGTTCTGTATGTGCTCATATATTAATACACATGTATAGGGACTTTCTTACGATGTGTTTATAGAATCCACACTTACAAAGTGGCCATATTTATAATAATTTAAGCTTTTAAACCCCATACAGATAACATTAAACATAGCGTTTGTAGTTTACAAGTACATCAATGTTTTGGCTCCGTCACATTTACTATCACGTACTCCTGTATTTTAACACAAGAACAATATCCTAACTCTTTCGTCAAGCTGTTTGTCTGATGTGCTTTTGTTCTATACACTGTCAATCTTCATTTGCCCTTGAAGATAACGACATAGCGAATTGCCAAAAAACAGTGTCAGTTGTCTATAATACTCTACGTATATGGTGTTCGCAACAATTACTGTTGTATATAATATTTAGTCATGGTCAAGGTTAAGGGATGATTGTCCCTCCGCGAGATGGCAGGTCAATGGCCTCGTATAATTCTTTGCCAACTGAATAGTGCTGTACAAGCTAAATCAAAAGTTATAAAGCTGTTGCATGTAGTAAACACGAGCATAGTTATGCGACCGCATAAGCGTATTTTTTTTTATTCTGCATTTCATTACGTTATCTTAGGAGTGCAACGTGTCTTGGAATCTTAACATTTAATGTTCCGCTGCCTCACCTTAACAAATATGGTTATTCACGAATTTAGACAACAAGTTTCTGCATTTGTTACCTTCTACAAGTGTAGTGGTAAGAAAGTTTTGGAATTGTGTAAGAACAAAATTATTAATTAAGATAAAACAAACACGTTTTTGTGTGCCATAAAACATTGTGATTCACCGCTGTCCAAATTAAAATACATCTCTAAGTGGTGCAATAACATTTCCACTCACTAAAACTGAATTTTATTCAACCCAGTTATGTTTGTGATTTTCCGATAAGAAGATTTAGGACTTTTTTTTTTATAGCTGTAATGTAATGAAAGTACTCTCTTATTACTTAAAGAAAAAAAAAAACTCGGTCATGCGTATAGTCTGCATCTATAGAAGATGCCAGTTAAAACAATGTCATGCACTTTTGATACGAACGCTAGAAAGTCAAGTTGGTGTGACGTATAGCTTACCGATCACGAGTTAATTAAATCAGTATTGTCACTATACTTTTTTTAGTTCTGTTCACTATCTGGAAAACAACATATATCAACATATCCTTATATACAAGATTACAGATTTAAAGTAACGCAGGGATAGAAATAATGAAATAAAATTACATTCGCTCATGTAAAGTTGTATTTCTTCTTGAACAGTTTTTTAAAAATTTAATCAATACAATACGTTCACTTTCACTGATAATAACTAAAGAAATACGGATGGATCATGCATTCCCGATCTGGAAAGCCAACTAAAAAGATGAAATTCCTTAAGCAAAGTTAAATTCCTCGGGAATGCGGGAAAATAGTTCGATCCCTCTAACGGCATAAAGACTAATCTGATCACTGTGAGTATCGCAATGAACAACAACCAGACCATGAGAACTTCAAGACTCGAATACGTAATTATGTACGTAGCTACAATACGCACTACCTTACAAACGGGCAGACAAAGGAAGAGAATAATGTTTGAATAAATTATAGTTTATTTTAAGGTGTGTGTATGTATGTTCAGAACTGTAAATTCTGTTTTCGAAACCCAGATGGGAGTTATGTAACTATTTCTTCTGCCGTTAAATTAATGTTGAGAACCACAATTGTGTTTCCCAACATTTCAAAATGGTTGTGTTCGTTTTTATGCAGTTCTTAACTGTTTGGCTGCTGTATTATGTTAAAGGATCGTGGACATTTCTTCTCGAGAAAGTTTAAAGTTGGATGGGCATTTTATCTTTATACATATGTTAAAAAACAATATGAATATGGGCCTAATAAAGTTATTTTCTAACTTAATGGTAAGCTTACTGTTCAATACTTTGGGAGTAAAAGTTCTTTAATGTTTTGGGACAAAGTGTTTAGCCTTCACATCAGATGGTGTTTATGTTCGTTGGTCCGTTATTTTGGAAACACCTATTTATAAACATATATTTTGAAACAGTTGAATTAATCTACAAAATGACCTAACATAATTCAAAGTGAATTCTCAGATGTGCCAAATACTTACCAAGACTAAAAGAACAAAGTCAAACATACCAAAATTACAGTTTTCTATTTCAAGAATTTGCCTTTATTTTCAAATTCAATTAAAATATTTCTCTATTTAAATATTTGTATTTCGTATATATAGCAAAAATACTAAAGCTATTTGCCTTATTTTGAATTAGTGACGGCTATCAGTTCAAAATCAGGGACAGATAACCCTCAACTACGATTGTGCAAATTTTAACAAATATTTTTGACTCAGGAATATTATCACAACACGGTGACTTTCCTCAACGTCTGATTGTGAAGGTGCTCAACTCACGACCTGCGGGTTCGAATCCCATCAACGAACATGCTTGCCCTTTCAGCCGTAGGAACGTTATAATGTGACAGTCAATCCCACTTTTTGTTGGTAAAAGGAGTAACCCAAGAGTTGTCAGTGGTTAGTGTTGACCAGCTGCCTTTTCTCTAGTCTATCACTTTTAAATTAGGAACGGCTAGCACTGATAGCTCTCGACTAGCTTTGCGCGAAATTCAACAAACAAAAAAATAGAAATGGTATTAGTAGTTCTTTTTTGTTTGTTTGTTTGTTTATACAGTAAAGGAAGGAATTCAGGAACCTCTTGGTCGTTTTAGAATTTTAACTGAAAATATTAACCATTCAAATGTGTGATTGTTTTATAGAGGAATAAAAATATGCATAGACAGGACTATTGTACCAGACAATTCAACATACTAACTTCTCTCAGTCTGCTATTCACGACTAGCCGGTCTCGTGGGTTCACGTCAAAAAGACGTGAACTTGTAGATACAGGAAATCAAGTGGATTAGCGAATGATTTTGTTTTGTTCAGAAATATGGTGATAGCGGTAGAAGTTTGAAAGGTTTTCCTGTTGTTGAGGTGGCGAAAATAATCTATCATGTGCAGTTGCTAATTTCTATGTTCTGTTTTGAGAATACTTATTCTGCTACAGTACAATATGAATATAGGCCTAACTTTTTTGTTGGTCAAGAGTAACCCAAATAAAATACAATGAATAAATAAATAAATGGTGCTAATTACTAAATGGTTGTTAAAATAGTTCACAAGATCTATATCAACACTAATATTGCTTTCATTTGAAATGATCCCATCAAAAAATCTGGCGTATTGACGAACTAAGATAGTGCCTCTCAGTGGCACAGTGGTATGTCTGCGGACTTATAACGCTAGAAACCGGGTTTCGATACCCGTGGTGGGCAGGGTACAGATAGCCCCTTGCGTAGCTGTATGCTTAATTACAAACGAACTAAGATATTAGCGTGATAACTGGATTAAAGTACGTAATATGTTAAATGAGAAACTTGCATAAACTCTGCTGTGCAAAAAAATGCATTACAATAATTTATTTGATGACAAGAATATCAAATCAAAACTTGTGTTACTAACAAAGTATTAATGTCTACGAAATTGGCTATGAAAAGATACGGCAAAAGAAAAGAGTGAATGACAAAATATTAATGTCTTAAAACAAAGGTGATGATAAAGATGCACAGAAGGTGTTCTTTGCAAACTGTCAGTTTTTTATGTCCAGAAAATCGAACAGTTAATCCTCGACAATATCGTATTTGGATAATTGAATTACATTAATTCAACCTTTTGTTCCTAATATATTATATATATAAAATTATGGATTGTTTGTAATTCAGCACAAAGCTACACACCACGGGTATCGAAACTCGGATTCTAGCGTTGTAACTCCGCACACATACCGCTGTGCCACTGGGAGGCATAATTATGGAAGGTTCAACTGGTTCCATCTGTCTGTATAAGCGTGTTTGTAAACACTTTTTTAATCTGCTAGCTTTGATTTTCAAAGACTTGTTACCACGCGGTAAACTATGTAAATGCGTCATATATATATGTGTATCATATATATATATAAATTGTGTATGTGTTATATATATATAAACTGTGTATGTGTATCATATATATATCTAGTGATGGTATGCTTTTTTTTTATCCTTTTTCAAATAAAACTGTATGTACATAAAAGCAAACAGCTAAACTACGTTTACTTTTGATCAATGCCTAAGTTCTAACTGTTATTGGATTCTCATAGTCAAAAAGACTCAGTTGTGTTGACTGACACCGTGATCTTTTATATAGGCCGTGACATAGCGTTTTGTCTGAAACGAAACGAAACTAAAAACTAAAGCTATTTGACGACATACTCCTATTTCACGAAAAGGGTTTTAACTGGTAGTTTTTAGTCATATCGTGAGTCACATAACATAAACAGCACTAAGCGATAACACGTTATGTTAATTACACTAAAAGAAAATGAAACGTTTGTTTGTATTAAAATTATATAATTATGGGGTATAACATCATTGTGTAAAAATCTCAAAAATTAGGTACTCACCCGAAACGTATAGCCATACGTGCCATTTTAGGTCACTTTGCTGCAGTCACGTGCCGCGTGCTTTATAATATTCGCACGCACTTCACCCTGTGTGTGTGTCCAGGTTCCTTCTTGACTGGGATAAATAATTACCTACTTATACTTAGTTTCTTCAAAGTGACGAACACTAATACGCTCGGATATAGAGACAAATCTGAGATAAGAATACAATATTTTGCTTGATGAGGAGGAAGGGGGGAGTTAGTTCCCCGTTAACTTACAAGATGGGAGGAATAGTAAAACCGAGAAAGGAGAAGTGAGCTGCTAATGCCGAGGTCCACTTTCAGTTACGCTAGTGGCCGCTCTGAAGATATACGATTAATTGAATGCTTTGAAGCCTGTTCACAACTTCCCGGGATCTTCCGTCAGCCAATAGTAAGGCACAAGACCACCAGCCAATGAGAATAAGTAATGTACCATATGCAACACATACTGCCGCGTCCTCGTATCCGTCTGTGTAAGATATTTCAGAAATAATTTTGTTGAGTTTGTAACAACAAAAGTCTTTCTCAAGACTACAAATATGACAAAAAAACAGAGAAAAGTGTAAGGAAGATAAATAAATACACACAGTCTTCTTGGATTGGGTAATGTAATGTTCCCATCGTTGTGTTTTAGTAAAGCCACATCAGACTATCTGCTCTGTCCACCGAGAGGGAATCGAACCGTTGACTTTAGCGTTGTAAGTCCGTAGACTTACTGCTTTCCCTGCGGAGAACTCCATCATTATGACGGAAAATGATAACTTATTAAAATGTGAAAATCTTCAGGGCGATTATATTTAATATCGCGATCAGTTTTACTGCGACGTTTCTATGGGCTCAAGAAAACATTTCACCTCTAAATTTGATCATGGTCTTTAATATATCAGTTTAGTTTTTTTACGTATACATAATGAGGGGCAGTAATCAACATTATGTATACATACTGAGGAGCAGTAATCAACATTATAAATATATATTTAGCAGCAGTAACAAACATTATATATAAAAGCCCAAAGATACAGCTTATGAGTGGATTGTTTATTTTTATTTAACTAAAACTTAATTAAAACTAAGAACTAGAACAGAAAACAAGAGTGCCTCGTCTATCGAAATTATATATATAAATAAAGATCAACAAGATAAGAATACGGACAATGAAACTGCAAAGACATTTCAGGGTAAGAATACTAGAATGTGGTTTCCTAAAATACCAAATAACAATGCGGACTTACAATGCTAGAAACCGGGTTTCTATACTCGTGGTGGGCAGAGCACAGATAGCCCATTGTATAGCTTTGTGCTTGATTACAAACAAAACAAAACAATCAAAACCTTAACGATTTCATCCATGAAATATCGTGTAGAATTGAAGGTTATCTACTTAAAAACCATAAAGTTAAATCAAAACGTCAGGAAACGCCAAATATTAGCTCTAAAAAGTGCAGAATAATTTACAAATTATCGTAGGAAAACATGACAAAGGGGGTCATACCGTAATTATGGAAACAGAAGATTACAACAACTTATTAAAAAAAAACACCTAAATCATTCAATCAAATTCAAAGAACTATCCAAAAACCATAACGAATGTTATATAATACAGTTGAATAGTCTAAAGTTGAAAAAGAACAGTTACATCACAGAAGACCTGTATAACAGCTTAAATGTCACCAAATCACGTACCCATTGTTTGTTTGGTGCTCCAAAGATTCACAAAAACCCGATTCACATCCGCCCAATCTTTTCCACTTATGATAACTATAAATGAGCTTGCACGATTCCTAGGTTTTCTGATCAAACATTTCGTGACGACAATAAATACAAGGTTAAATGTGTTCTAGAATTTCGAAGCATTCTCAAAAACCTCAACAATCATCACAAAATGTACAGTTTTGAAGTAGTCTCCATGGATGCAATGATACCGAAAGAGGAAGCAACAAACCTAGCTCTAGAATTGATGTCAAAAAATACGACAAGTTGCATTACAATCAGAGCTTGGAAATTTTGAGAGACTTGTTTAACTTTGCACTAAAAATATGTTTCACCTGTCAAGACAAAATTTATAAACAAATAGACGGCCTAAGCATGGGCAACCCTCTGTCACCTGGATTATATGAATTGTTTATCAACAACATAGAAAGTTAAGCCATTAACACAGCTCTGCACGCAGGTTTAGATATGTTGACGAAGTATTTTGTGGATTTGAAGACAACATCCATCAACAGTCATTTCTACAACACGTAAACAATGTTCACTTTAACATCAAATTCACTCATGAATAAGAGAATAAAAACCAAGTTTTAAATTATATGAACATAACAATAGAAAGAAACTCCAACAGTTTTCACATAAAAATCTTCCACAAATCTAGTAATGATAACAACTATATAAAGTGGGACTCAGTCCATTAAACTCAACAAAACATTGGCACGTTATCATGCATTTAACATCTGTAGTAGCAGTAACCTGCAGCATGAACTAGAATCAATATCTGACACATTCATTAACAAATATTACTTCCCTAAACACATTGTCACTAGAACCTTAGCCAAGTATAAAAACCCAATAAACAGAAAAAAAGAAGAAAAACAACATAAACTCCATGAAGGAAACAAAATACACAAACTCAGACACACTAATAGATGTCTTACCTTGTCGTAGCTATGTAACCAAGAACATAATATTTGGAAAAGGCATAAAAAACAACAACACAAAATAAACAGCAAAGTTACTTTTATTCCAAAACCGAGCACTAAAATCAAAGGAAATTTAAGAAAGGTTTATTCTGATAACTCCAACGATAGAAGCACCAACAAGTATCAATACGATAGCACTTACTTAGGCGAAACGAGACGCAACATAAACATTAGATCAAAGAACATAACAATCCCCATCACACATTTATGAACGTTCGACACCACAACGAATCAACATGCAATTAACATTAATAACTTTAAAATATTATGCAATGAGAACAACATTAATAGAAGAAAAATAAAAGAAGCATTGATTATTGATGAACTAAAACCTAACTTAAATCAAAACACTGGTGTCACTCTATATGTTTTCTAAATTGGAACAAAATGCTCGGAAAGTATTTCACAAAATAGAGACAGTTACCTGATGATGGTCATACGAGTGGGCGAAACGTGGTAAAAAAAAGTTAAATGAAAATAAACAATTCACTCAAAAGCTGTATCTTTGGGCTTTTATTTAAAGTGGATTTCCTCCTCTCACAACAGTTATATGTATACATACTTAGCAGCAGTAATAAATATTATGCATACATACTGAGTAGTAGTAACAAACATTATGTATACATATTGAGGAGCAGTAACCAAAATTATGTACAAAGCTTTAACTTATTAACATATATTCTGCTGAGTTACAAATAGAAAATACAAAAATATCTGATACCAAAATTTAGTTTCGTTTCGGTTTGAATATAATTGTAACAGTTTAATTTATATCAATATTTTTTTATGGAAGCCAAACTCTTTTTTCCGAATTTATGTTGCTGTTGTTTTTTTCATCCACTAATAACCTTTCTCAAAAATATTTCATTTGGAATTACCTAAATAACGCAAAATTTAAAAAAAATGGAAAGGTATTTTGTAACGTAGACCCGTTACTAGTTTTTCATTTAACGGGTTTTCAGCTTTGTGAATTATTAATTGAAACATTTCATTATCAGTCTCATAAAATTTATATTAGTTTCAACACTACAATGTTGATGATGTTTTATACAACATTGTTTGAAGCTGTTACAAACTTGAAGTTTTCGATACGGATTATATGTTGTTTCTTTAAAATTTTATAACACGTCTATTTTGAATCTTCTCTGGTGCACACTAGATGTCTCACGTGTGCTAAATCAATCTTGATTATTCAAGGACGTGTTAAATTCAGTCATGATATTTGATGAAATAATTTGATGTTACCTATATGCAGTATGCTTTAACCTTAATATCTGATGCTCATTTTGCTGTTAACAAAATATTTTGACCACAGCATTGTCTTGAATGTAAAGTTTAGTCTAAACGTCCAACTTTTTATCCCCCCAACGTTTTGTCTTTTATAACCACTTTTTATCTCTGTTTTACGTCGCCTGATGAGTCAGCTTTGAGGTTACGGAATCACAACGCTAAAAACCCGGGGGTTGATTCCACGCGGTGGAAAGAGAGCAGATAACCTAGTGTGTACTAAAAGAATGAAAGCAGTATATTTTATCCTTTTACTGTTTTTTGCAACAGAAGATAATCTTGGTGCTCGACTTCGTAAATTAGAACGCATCCATCAAACCTTAAATTTAATTTTAGACTAATTTAGACATTTACGAATTAGGGTTAAGTCTGATAGCATATTCCCATTGCTGTGAGCGTCCTTCATCGGCACTTAACTTGTTCAAAAGACACCTTTTGTTTTCTGCGTCGTCGTTATTAAATTATCTTGTGCATATATATATAAATTCTCATGTATAATATATATATATATCTCACACAACACATACGTCCAAGCGTATTTAGTAAAATTCACAAACAGCTTTTGAGCACTACAAGTGACTTTTATCCGTCTCATTTCTTATTCAATAATTATCCTCCTACACATCGTTAACATGTCGTGACTCATCAATGTCATTCAATGAAACATGAAACTTTATAATGATGTAGTAAATCATTAAAACAAAGATTTGTAAAGAATGGACATGTATCAAATCCGTAAGCAAAATGGATAATTAATTTTCTGAACTATATCAACGTTGAACTGAGAGCAGTGAACATTGGCGCTGGTACTGTTTTGAAGGTAGTGGGAGGAGAGTCAAGTTGTGAGTTTCAAGGAACTAAACCAGATGCCCCGACAAAGTTTTCAGAGTGGTCTGGAAGTTATACCAGATAAAGTCAACGACACACGCAAAAAAAGTTCAACCAACTTCAAAAAATCGTGTTAATTCTACATTGAAAAACACTTTTTTGTTTTTACATAGATGGTTTTATTTAATCTTTAACAACTAGGTAGATAGAAGTCGGAACCATTTTCCTCACCGGAATTGAACAGTAAAGAAATAGTTTTTATACTTGCCAGGATTTATGCTAATGGTAATATATAACTGTTCCCCTTTTATTTCCTCTGCTATTTCAAGGTAATTTTATTTTAAGAAGTCGGTCATACTTATCAACATTATCACACATATACAAAGAATACTCTTTCTTGGACCCCATCTACGTACTCCCCTCAAAAAAAAAAAAAAAAAGAGTACTCCAAATTGTGAGAATTTTATGTTTAAAAAAAAGTAACTAAAAACACCAATTTTC